AGTCAATCATAGGGGCCAGGGATATAGCTCAGTGCACAGTGCCTGTCAGGAAGCACCAGGTCCTGAGTTCCATTCCTGGTACAAAAAAAAAAAGAAATCAAAATCTATTTTTCATTTAATGTTAATTGCATGTGATCTTATATCTAGAAAATGAAAATTGAAATAGATCAAGTGAAACAACTGATACATGAAACCAGCCGAATCAGATAATAAACTGGACATCAACCTCAAAAGGAGCAGAGTAACAGACATGTTTACAAATCAAGAAAAGCAACCTATGGAAGCAACCACAGAGTTTACCAGAAAGGACACCCAAACCAAAAGTGTTATTTCAGAGACCAGTAACAAAATTGACACTGAAATTGCTTCCTTAAAAACACTGATGGAGTCTAACAAACTTGAAACAATTCGTTATCTTGCAGCCTCCATGTTCACTTGCCTGGCAATAGCTCTGGGATTCTATAGGTTCTGGAAGTAGTGCTGCTGCCTCTGCCTCTGCTGCCAATGACTTCTTAGAACACTACAGGAGAGATTTTCTTCCCACACTGTCAGTTGCTGAAGAAACTTATTACATGATTATTCAAGGTGTACATGGACTAGAGAAGCATTTCAGGTACCTCCCCTTGATTCTGTGTATATGCTATGTTGAAAAGCTGTCATCCAAAACATGATTTGAGATGACACAGCATCCTGTCCCTAAGTTTTTGATAGTTAATACAATCGGAACCAGAATTTTCTTGCATTTGAACAACTTTATAAATAAAATTATATTGATACTTGCTGCAAATTTGAAAAGAAAAAAAAAGTAGGAAGATATAAGCATCCCTTGTTAGAATACATTCTCTACATTGTTACAAAACTCTAACCCTAACCCTAATTCAACACTATAATTTCTCCCACAAATTCAAGTGAAAACAGCAGTCACTGATTTCCCCCTTTTCTTTGTTAGGAAAGCTGGACATGAAAGTTAACAGGATGTGCAAAGCAAAGGTGACAAGCCAGCTAGGAAAGTGGGAACAAAATGCTGTCACCTCTGCACTGAGCCATGAAACACTCTTACTCAGAAAGTTTGGAATTCTCCTTCTAAAGAACCAAGTCAAGAAACTGCCCCCCTCTGTGGTAGACTTCAAATCAGGGTATCTGTGTAAGAGCCCCCAACTTTGGAGAAAAAGACAGATTAAAAGGGGAAACAAAGTAGTAACTGATGAAAGTTAGTTGGGACGAGCCGTACGGTTTTGTCTCTCCCTCTAGCAGAACTTCAGTGAGTTGCTAGAAAGAATCATGAGATCACAGGACGTAAAACGGTACCAAGCTGAGTCCTGTGTGAGGGGATCTGGACATAACTTCAGCACTAACTGAGGGTACTTGTGACACAGCTGCAGCATCAACAAAAGCACAAAAATGGGAAAACCATGGCAAAGAGTAGACTACAAATAAGGCAACCGCTTACAGTACGACAGCTGAAACAAGGAGGCACAGAGTTATCGGACCTCAGCTGGACCATGTGCCTCAGGGGTGTGCTGTACGCAAATGACCAGCAAATCACTGTAGGTGTGGGTTATGAGGTTGGATTTCAATGTGCAAGTCAATTTTCAAATACAGAATACATGAATAATGATGGGCAACTGAACTATTGTGAATTATATAGTCTTTCTTTTCCTTTTGGACATCTAGGATTCTACCAGATAAAATGAATGATACAGGCGCCTCTTACAATCTTCCATTTGGGAAAATGTTCTACACCTGGAAAGCATGCAGTGTTATAGTGGGAAATGCCTAGTGTACACATCAGGGGATATTATTTCTTTTACCCCTTGTCTGTCAGATTGGTGATCACTTAAATTGTAATATGTGTGATCAATGATAAAAAGGGCAAATAAAGCAAGGAAATAATCTAGTATCAAGGTATATTTTGCCTTTTGATAATGGTATATTAAAACAATACAAGAAAGTATAATCCCAAACTTCTTCAAATGAAGGAAAAATAAAAGGAAAAATACTGGGAAGCATTAATCCATTGGTCTTATAATTGCTGCAGATATTTTAATTTTGCTCACTGTGTTTAGAAAATCTTTTTAAAACCTGTTACTGTAAATGTGCTGCTTTAGTAAATAAAAAGCTAATGGAAACACCGTTCTGCTAGTGTAAGCATGACTTTTGCTCTACTGTAAATGATAAGCAATCCAGTCAGAATTGGCCCTTTGTTGAAGAAGTTTTCAAGGCTCTCTAGAAAACATAACTCATTTTTAAAACCATCCTCATACTCTTTCTCATGTTTACATCCCCTTCATCTTTATTTCTCACTTCATTTTTTCTCCTTTTCCTATTCTCACCATCTCTGGGAGCTCCTACCGCACCCTCAGGTGACTGCAGCCACGTGGGTGTGGCCTGAGGCAGGGCTGCCCCATGCTCTGTGCTGTGCGCCATTATGTAGTGCAAAGGCACAGAGCAGGGAGAGAAGCCAGGAGAGGAGACTGCAGATGAAGCTGAGGCAGACACAGGGAGCTGTGGCCAGCAGTGAAGCCTTGTTCTGTGCAGACCGCCTGACCAGAGGCCCCGGAGTGCAGGCAGAAGAGTGACGAGTGGGCCGGGCACCACTAAGACAGTGTCAGCAGAGGAGGAAGAAGATGGGTGCGAGTGCCTTTGGACAGTGCCTGTGATCTGAACCTCAGCAGGAGGAAAGGAGCTGGACAGGGTGCCAGTGCCAGGTGTGGGAAGGCATGGGGTAACAGGTCAGGAGAGCAGTAAGCAAGACATGCAAAACCAAGTGAAAAGAGCATGGATGACCAGATGTAGCTGAAACTGGTCACTTGGCTGTCTCTTCACACAGTATGCAATGCTCTCCAACAGGATGGGGGTCGGTTTCCTCCCAGTCTCTCCATTCTTTCTCCTGCACCACTCCCCGAACTTTGCTTCCCTCTCCCCAAAATCAGCCTCCAGGCCATGGCTGCCACTGCCAACCCCTGCACACCTTTCTCCCCTTGGTATTTCTGTGGATTTCGCATTGTAATTTCTGAAGCCTGGGCAGTCAAAAGAGATGATGAGTGCTCTGTGTTTGGTATGAACCTTATGAAACTGCCATTTCTGTAGGTCAAGGGGTTAAATATCAGGGGATTGGCTGAGGGGTGACAGGAAAAAACGATCAGTTTCAGATGCTAAACATTTGTAACCTTGTCTGTGTGCTGGCACGTGGCTGGGTATCCCAGGATGCACCAGGCCCAGGTGAGAGCAGCAGCTAGAATCAGTTTATGTGGAGAGGCAGCCTGCAGGGAAGAAAGTTCTCAGGCTCCATTAAGGCTCAGACAGGAGGCCTACTCTAACGTTTCAGAGTTTGGATTATTTTTTCCTGGACAGGCACAAAGTAAAGTTGTCAAGGATACAAACAAAATTCAAAACAAGTATGATGGGAGAAGGGGATTTGGAAGGAGGAGGTTAAGTGAAAGAAAGAACCCACACATTGATGTCTTGACTAGAACTGACAAATGCAGCAGTTGTTTTAACTAGGAGTAAAAGCAAACTGTCAAAACAGATGTTTTCTTATGTCAGGCACAGAGCTTCCTTCTGCACATCCTAAGATCTTTTCTCATGCTCACATCTAGACAGATCTTCTCTTCTAGGTGCAAAGTTGCATCATGTAAATGTGACTGAAACTACCTTATTCCCAAAGGTTCACCATCAAGAATCTAGGAGAAACTTGAGAAACTGCCAACTTAAGACGTGAGATTAGGATGCGGGTGGAATCAGTACAAAAATGTCTCCAAACTCTCCAGACATGAACTTTACTAATCCTACAGTGACAAACAGCAGACAGTATAACTGTTAGTAAGAATTAGGTGAATATGTAAGAAATAGTATTAACAGCTTTAATTGTGTAACAATGATATCATAAACAATTTCTGCTAGCCACTTGCAATGTAGCATTAGACATAATTATCTGAAGCCACTGTGAGATTGGCTTACTCTCTCTAGTAATCTGAGAGTTGGGCTCAGTTCCTAGCCAGGGATACTTGTGACCAGAGTCTTGGCTAACTGACCTCAAAGCCAATACTCACTCCTATCTCATTATTCCAAGACTCGATGGGCACTCATTTGTAGCAACAAAGCACCCTGCAGAATGGGTCTTTTGAAAACAAGGATTTTATTTTTAAGAGGACAGGAAAGTGGTTCCAAGGATTTCTTAAACCAGACACATTTCTCCCTTCTTGATATCACTGTGCTCAAAATCAAACTACAGAATATGCAGAAAGTCAAAATTTAAAACCACATGGGACCCCTACTAAATGTTCTACAAAGGAAAGCTTTACCGAGAGCTTCCACAGGAGAAACGCAGAGTGAGCTGCTGGGGAGTTAATGAGAGACACAGCCAGCCTAATTTTCATGCAAGCAAACATCATCACGAATGCTTTCAAAGGTCAGACTGGAGTGAGTGAGGTAATGCTGTTTGGGGAGTGAAATAAACAGCACTTTGATTTTGCTCTAAGATTTTCTCTTTTTTCCCCTCCCCTTCAATTTTGAATTCTTTGCTCCTAAACCAAAATCCTTGTCACCCGTCCCATTTGCCCACTGCATGCACAAAACATTCTATAAACTGCAGAGTTCCTCAAGATTCTTTTGCTCGGGCAGACACTATTTTCTCACAGAGCTAGAGATTTTCTTAAGTGTGGAAAATGACACTGAATTTGACTTGGCAGAGCCAAGGGGACAGAGAAGGGAAGAGGGAGGAGACAGAAGGGAAGGAAGGCTCTCTTATTAAAATAATCTCGATTTCTAACCAACACCATGGCACAGGTTAAGCGTTTTCATAGATAGTTTTAACAGTTTTACAAGGTTTTTTCCCTGCCTTTCAAAACGTGCTTTCAACAGTCATGCTATTTTCCAGTGGACTGAAAGGAGCCCTGTGCTCAGGAGGGACAAGGACGGGCTCTGGCGTGTGACTGCAGAGACACAAAAGCTGCTTTATTTCAGTATATGTTTGCCCTGGCAGGAATCTGGAGACCTACCTGCACATAATCCACACTTCGTCCCAGGGCTCTGAAGGCTGTGTACATGACTTCTCGTTTTCCACCCCACTTCTGCATGATGCACACGCTTTTATTGGACAAGACCAACTGCGTCACATGCTGTGAGCTCTCTTTATGTGACTCCTCCGTCTCACCAGGACCCTTCACATGGAAGTTGTTCTTCCAGATGTAAGTGGCTGACTTGTCCCTGCCCATGACTTCACTGAAGATGTCCATCATATAAAGGTCATCATCGGAGTTCCCATCTATGACCATGACAACCTTAATCCCGGGGTAGGTGAGCCTTTTCACAGATTGCAAACATTTCCGTAAGTAGTCTGGGTCTTCTTGATATGCAGCGATGCAAAGAGCAACAGTTTTGTTCAACTTAATGGGGGTTTCTAGAGATTTTTTCATTTTCCGGTGCTCCAAAAAGGCAAAAAGGCTTTGGATGATGAGGTGTGATGCTAAAAAGGCACCATACAGTCCAAAAGAGAAATAGTAATTATCCGTTTGGATAAACTGGTAGCCAACAATATAAGCAGCTGTGATTCCAAGGAGAAGAGAGACTCCAAAGAGTGTGGTTCCAATTATTCTCAGGATACATATAAACCTCTCACAATGCATCTGGAATATAATCAAAAGATACCTGAGTTAACCACTCTTGGCCTGGCTGGTTATGCACACAGTGTCATAGGAGGAGCACAGTACAAGGAGGATTCGGGAATTACACCAAGCTTCTCACTCAACTTGCTATGTGCTTTCCACACCTTACTTTGCTCATCGCAAGACTGGGGCATGGATGTCCTTCAGGCACAATTCAGAGGACTATTGCACGAATCTTAAGGAGGTGATGGTGCTACTGAAATATCACAGCATATTTAAACAAATACTGGGATGTGCTTTTGCTAATTGAGTTGGATCTTTTGTCTGAGGCTGTACTCTATGTATATGATCATAGGTAGGTAAGAAATGATATTTCTTGAAGCCTGAAACAATCTTTCTTCCTGTACCTTCTTCCCCTTAGCACTTGACAATGGTAACTAAAAAACAAACACAGATTTTGCTGAATTTCTCATATGTAATCTCATCTCATCCTTACGTCCTTGCCACGCAGCTAGATGAAACTGGAAATCAGGATATCTGGCCTCTGCCAGCAGCTCGTCAACTAGCTGTGTGATCTCAGTCAGTCACCTTACTTCTCTGGACTTTTTAAAAAATCTATTAAATGAAGGAGTTTACATGTGATTATATCCAAATCCCCTTTGACATTAAAAATTCTTCATCCCTAGGTAATCTGCATAACTATCTTCCCAAGCCCCCATGACTCTGAATTGTACCCTTTTGTTCTAATGTCTGTCTTCTCTGTCCACCATCACCAACGTTAGATGGTTAAATTCTGGGGACTCTGAAACCTTATTGGAACACAACAAGCACACAACAAATGTTTTCAAAAATAATGAAGACGGGGCTGGAGATTTAGCTCAGCGGCAAAAGCGCCTGCCTGGCAAGCGCAAGGTCGTGAGTTCGGTTCCCGGTACAGGAGAAAAACCAAAAAATAAATAAATAAATAATCAAAAATAATGAATACATTAATGTAATGCTTAATTTCAACAGGTGAGTTTCCAACCTACCAAAAGCTGCTGAATATTAGATTTGAAACCTGTTTCAGGTCTTAGTAACAGCCAGTTTTGAATTCACCTCTATATTTTGTATGTCTCCTAAATAGAGCATTAACCAACTCACAGATAGGAGGGCCATTTTTTTTGTTTCTGAAAGTATTTCTAGAACTGAGTACTGAAGGGATGCTTAGAACAAATCTTTTAGTTTTATTTTCCCCCATGATGTTTCATGTCCTCCTAAGAATGAACTGTCATAGGTATTAATGTAGTGTTCCATTTTCTGTCCTTCACATCAACTTTGAATAGTCATCATACTTATATATATAATTAGTGCTTAATCATTTTTCTTTAATCTGGCTAATTTTTGAAAGTGGAATATACTTACTTTAAATGAAAACTTTAGCTAAGCAATTATCTCTGGAAAGCCTCTTGACATACTATTTACATTTCCCCAATCCACATCAAAGTCAAAACTGAATGCCCACACAAAGCCTAGTACCATCTTCACTGTCAATGGCTGCATGGCTACCACAGTGCTTAGACCTTGAAGAGCATCACTCTTGCCTTCAAATTCTGTTGCATCTGATCATACAGTGAAAATTCCTGACTGGTTATAAATTATATCTCTGCATTGCATTCCCAGGAAACTTTAGCATGGCTGCTTATGAATTGCGTTAGCTCTCACAGGCTACGTGGTGCACCATTAGTGCATTCCAGCCTCTGGAAATCTGAGTGTGCCACATCCAGGAGTGTCTTTTAAAAGAGAGGGTGCACCTCCTCCCATCTCTCTTTCCCTGCCGTGGGCTTTATACAAATATTCAAACGATGCTAGCATACTGCAAGACCTCAAGACCAAGTTTGGTCCTTGAATTGCCATATGGGAAGGAGCCTCCCATCAATCAGGATACCTGCCTTGGACTCCTGTGTCAGTAAGAAATCATTTCTTTTTGTTTTTTGTTTTTTGTTTTTTTTTTTCCCCGGTATCGGGGATCGTACTCACAACCTTGCGCTTGCCAGGCAGGCACTGTGCCACTGAGCTAAATCCCCAGCCCCAAGAAATCATTTCTTGAGTTTTGTTTGCTTCTTCTTTGTTTACCCATTGTGCACTTACTACACTTCAACTGACACAACTTAGGCAATACCAAGCAGCCTGGAGACCAGGAGTCAGGCTTGCCAACATCAATTTCTTCCATAAAATGCAGGTGATAATACTTGCCAAACACTCTTTACAGGGTTGCTCTAAGGAGCAAAATGAAAAAAGTTTATAAGTCTTTTAAAAAACAAAAGCACAATGCAGTTTAAAGTATCAGTTAGTTAAGAATGTCAGAAGTACACAAAACAAAACACACATCTGTGTTCCACGTTCAGCAGCTACACAGGCCACCACAGCACTTAAGACAGGAGCTTGGTAAAGGTAACCAAACACAAGTGGAAGTTGAGACTGCTGGAAAATGGTGAAGTGCTGAGTTTTCAGGAAAGGAAATGGACTGCATCATCCCTTGCTAATTAACATAGTTGGCGGGATGGTGAACATCCCCAAGGGGCACATTAACCAATGCCCAAAGGTGCCGGGAGCACCAGACTTGGAACTTGTCATTTCTAAGACATGAGTCATTCTCACAAGAGTGAAAAATTTCAAGGGTACTAAAGCACTTCGCCAGGGAGAAGTTTAAGTGTGTGCGTTTTGCTTGTGTTCAAAATTACCACCACCAGCAAAAAAACTGTCTGCCATTCTTTTCCATTATTCACATTTTCCTTACTTTTATCAGCACATGTGGCCAGAGAGTGGTCACACAGCATCTGCTGGCCCCAGCTGATGTGGGAACGCCCTCTTACATCACCACAGTCTACAAAATAGCTTTTTGAAGCCTGGGAAAATTTACCAGCAAACTGCAGCAACGTGGCTAGAACTGAACCTTTATATTTCTGCTCAGTATCTCAGAGTTGGTTTACATGCCACACTCAACATTTCAGGGCACCCAAAAGGCAAAAGGCACATTTTAGAGCCAACTGTGCTGAGGGAAGACACTGATCTTTGAGGGTGACACATAGGATGTAATTTTTAATAATCCCCTTGCATAGTTTCATGGATACGGGCACCATATGCATGCAGCTTCCTGAGACAGTCCCTATTAAAGGGCTCCATTTCACATCATACTTTCCTGGTAAAACAAGAACATGCCTATCTGGCATTTTGTTAAATCAGAAAAACAGGGTTAATTCAATTCTAGATCCTAATAAGATAATAGGAAATTGGTCCCAATTATTTAATAAGTTCTCTTCTTCATAGAATTCTAGGTTAAAACTGACTGTTATGCAATGCAAGCTCCACAAAGCCAACAGATATATATATATACAATAAATATATGTATATATATATGGTGTGTGTGTGTTTATACTTTCATCAACCTTACCATCATTATTGTACTGGCAGCTAATATTCACCATTTATTAGATTTTGGGCAGTGGGGCATGGTTTAGTTTAATAGCATGATCCTATTTAATCTTAATGACTTGGGGCTGGGGATACAGCTCAGTGGCATAAGTGCCTGTCTGGCAAGTGAAAGGTGCTCCTGAATTCAATTTCCCATACCACACACACAAAAAAATAATCTTAATGACTTGAGCTGGCAAACACATCATTCATCTCATGTTGCCACATATGCATATGACAAGCAAGCCAACATGCTGAGTATTTATCTGCCCAAAGCCACAGAGCAGAAATAGGACCCACATAGTACCCTAAAGTGCCAGACTATACAATACACATTTACTCAATAGATTTGAATCTTCATGGCAAAATAGGCAGCATTTTTCTGTTCCTGGCTAAAAACCACTGTGCTGTACCAGGACAGAGAGGGAACAGTTTGAAGACTGTCTTTCTATTGCTGTGGAAAGTGGGAATGCGCGCTTGCCCGAGAACAAAGCCAAAGCTGGGCAACTCAGAGGATTTCCAGGGCAGACACTTTCCCATGTGAGTGTAGCCTAAGGATCATGAAATGGGGTTGATTCAAAAGAAGCTGCTGGTTTCATCTACACAACATTAATTCTGTTCCTATGCTAGCAGCCGAAATCCTGCTTCCCCATGAGAAAGGCACTAGTGTTCCAAATGCCTCCACCTGTGCAGCAGATACAAAGCCCTGCTGTTAGCTGTGACAGCCCAAATGGGACTCTGGGTTACTGGGCATCAGAGCCTTTTCCTGCCCCTTGACCTTTTTATACTACCCAGAGAGAGAATCACAGCTGCTCTCACTGCCCATCCAGTGGCAAGAACTGAGTTTGTACAGCAAACCTTCCATGTCCGAGACGGAGACAGCTGAAATAAATTCACCTCTGTTGAGTCAGCCTCTGAGAAAGCTACAGAGACTAAGCTGGACTCACCCTCTTCTGAGAGGCTCCTTTCTAAAGAGAAGTCCTCCACCCTGCCTTCTCCCCAACTCCAGCACACGGTCTCTCCTTGCAGTGCAGCCTGCTTTTCTGAGTTTTATCTCTGGCCATAAATACTTGTATGTCAAGTGACTCTTCCATCCTGGGACACAGGAGGTATTAGCTGAATCCATTTTGAGTAACTGAATAAATTAATTTGGATTCAGAGTGTCAAAGCCTACTGGCAAGCAGACATCTTGTCCCTGTCTTCATTGCAGGGGGAGTGGACAGATACTAAAAGTCAAACAGGATGCAGTGTTTTTCTTTTTCCTTTCCTTTTCTTTCTTTGTTCTTAAACAGCCCCATAATTTCTTGCCAGATGTCCATAGGCAGTGGCAGTAGGGAGTTTCCAGAAGAAATGTGGCTAACATCGAAAATATGCATGGTCCCCAAGAGCATTAACAGCACTGTGAATTGCAATCTGAACACTCATAGGTTCCAGGGTCAAGTTTGGGATATGAGGGATCACAAAAGCACCTTTTATCAACCTGAAACCTATTATCTTTGTAGTGTTTACTGTTGTCCATTAATCCTCATGGTTTTGTATTTGATTCTAATGAGGTACGATTCTGTGTGCAC